GTGAAAACAATCCTAACCTAGTCACTCTCTCCTCATATGTCAGTCCTGCCACCCCCAGAATCAGCCTGGTAAACCTTCACCACACTCCCTTGAGCATCCTTACTCAGCAAAAGGAGACCAAACTTGCACACAGTATTCTCGGTGTGGCCTCACCAAGGCCCTGTATAACTGCAACAGCATACCCCTGCTCCTGTACTCGAAACCTCTCGCAATGAAGGTCAACATACCATTTGCCTTCTTTACCACCTGCTGCACGCTCCCCTCTTCCCAATTTATTGTCATTCAGGTAGTAATTGCCTTCTTGTTTTTGCTTCCAAAGTGAATAACCTCACATTTATCCAAATTATACTGCATCTACCATTGATTTGCCCACTCACCTAATCTGTCCAGATCAGGCTGAAGGATCTCTACGTCTTTGTCACAGTTCACCCTCCCACCCAACTTGGTATCATGTACAAATTTTGAAATGTTACATTTTGTTCCCTCATCCAAATCATTAATATATATTGTGAGTAGCTGGGGCCCCAGCACCAATCCCTGTGGCATCCCACTAGTTATTGCCTGCCAATTTGAAATGGACCCATTAGGTTCCTACTCTTTGGTTTCTCACTGCCAATCATTTTACTGCCCATCTTGATATACTTGCCCCAATCCCGCTTTAATCTTGGACAATAATCTCTTATGCGGGATGTTGTCAAACGTTTTCTGAATGTCCAAATATACCACATTGACTGGCTCCCCCTTGTCAACTCTACTAGTTACATCTTCATAGAATTCCAACAGTTTTGTCAAGCATGATTTCCCCTTCATAAAGCCATGCTGACTCTGTCTGATCCTGCACTGCTTTCTAAATGCTCCACTGTAATGTCCTTGATAATGGATTCGAGAATTTTCCCCACTACCGATGAAAGCCTCACCGGTCTATAATTCTCTGTTTTCTCTCTACCTCCCTTTTTGAATATTGGAATGATGTTAGCTACCCTCCGATTTGCCAGGACTATTCCAGAGTCTAAAGAATCCTGGAAGATGACCACCAATGCATCCACCATTTCTAGAGCCACTTGCTTATTTACTCTGGGATGTAGATTATCAGGCCCTGGGGATTTACCCGTCTTCAATCCTATCAATTTTTCTAGCACCATTTTTCTACTAAAATTGATCTCCCTCAATTCTTCCCTCTCACTAAATCTTGCATTCTCCAACATTTTTGGTATCTGATTTGTGCCCTTTTCTGTGAAGACAGAACCAAAGTCTGTTTTCAGTTGCTTAGCCATTTCTTTGTCCCCTATTATACATTCCCCCATTTCAGTCTTTAGGGGACCAACATTTGTCTTCATCAATCTCCTTCCCATCACGTACCTGTAGAAACTCTTAGTGTCAGTCTTTATGTTCCCTGCAAGCTTACTTTCGTAGTGTATTTTCCCCTTCTTAATCAATCCTTTGGACCTTCTTTGCTGAATTCTAAATTGTTCCCAAACATCGGACATGTTATTTTTCTTAGCCAATCTGTATGTTTCTTCCTTGGATTGGATGCTATCTCTAATTTCCTTTGTAAGCTATGGATTGGCCCTCCTGCCTATTTTGCTTTTCTGCCAGACAGGAAAAAACAGTTGTTGGAGTTCCCCCATGCGTTCCTTGAATGTTTGCCATTGCCTAACCACTGTCATCTCTTTAAGTAACTCTTCCCAATCTATCAAAGCCAACTCACACCTCATATCTTCATAGTTTTCTTTATTAAGATTCAGCATCCTAAACTCCGAATCAACTACCTCACCCTCCATCTTGATAAAAAATTCTATCATGTTGTGGTCGCTCATCCCCAAGGGGTTTCGCACACCTAGATTTGCAATGACTCCCTTCTCATTACGCAGTATCCAGTCTAAGATGACCTGCTGTCTATTTGATTCCTCCACATATTGGTCAAGAAAACCATCCCGTGTACACTCCAGGAATTCCTCCTCTGAGGCATTGTGACTAATTTGATTTGCCCAATCTATGTGCAGATTTAAATCACCCATGATTGCCGATATTCCCTTATCACATGTATCTCTAATTTCCTGTTTAATGCCATTCCCAACATCACCACTGCAGTTGGGGTTTATATATGACACCCACTAATGTTTTTTGTCCCTTGTTATTTCTCAACTCAACCCATACAGACTCTACATTGTCAGAGCTAATATCCTTTCTCACTATTGTGTTAATTTCCTCTTTAACCAGCAATGCCACTTCACCATCTTTTCCTTTTTGCTAGTTTTTCCTAAATACAGAATACTCTTGGACATTCAGTTTCCATTCCTAGTCACCCAGCAGCCATGTCTCTGTGATCCCAGTTATATTGTACTTGTTTACATCTATCTACGTGATTAATTCATCCACTTTATTGCAAATGTGCTGTGCATTAAGGCACAAAGCCTTTCAGTTTGTCTTTTTGACAATGTTTGTCTCACTGTTATTTTTCTCAATAGCCCTGTTTGAATTTTGTCCTTGGTTTCTCTGCCTATCAATTTTCTTATTCCCTTTTCTACCTTTTGTTTTTGTCCTTGCTCCCTCCTTCTCTGACTCCTTATATAGGTTCCCATACCCCTGGCATATTAGTTTAAACTGTCCCCAACCGCTCTATCAAACACTCCCCCTGGGACATCAGAACCGGTCCCAATGCCCCAGGAATCTGAAATCCTCCCCCAACACCATCTTTTCAGCCGTGTATTCACCCGATATATCCTGTCATTTCTACTCTGATGAGCACATGGCACCAGTAGTAACCCTGAGATCACTACCTTTGAGGACGGATTTCTTAACTTTCTTCCTAGCTCCCTGTATTCTGCTTTTAGGACCTCATCCCTTTTTTTCACCCATGTCGTTTGTAGAGATGTGTACCACGACCACTGCTGTTCACCCTCCCCCTCCAGAAGGTCCTGTACCTGCTCCAAGACATCCTTGACCCTAGCACCAGGGAGGCAACATGCTATCCTGGACTCTCGTTTCCAGTCACAGAAACGCCTGTCTATTCCCCTTACAATTGAGTTCCCTATAACTATTGCCCTGGCACACTTTTTTACCCCTCCCCTCTGCAGCAGAACCAACCATGGTGCAACGAGTTTGGCTGTTGCTACTTTCCCCTGAGAGGTTATTCCCCTCAACAGTATCCAAAACAGTATGTCAGTTTTGCAGGGGAATGGCCATAGGAGAGTCCTGCACTACGTGCCTATCTCTCTTGCTCTGTCTGGTGGTCACCCATTGCCTTTCTGTCTGCAGAGTCTGAGTCTGCGGTGTGACCACTTTGCTATATGTGCTATGCACGATACTCTCTGCCTCGCAGATGCTCCACAGTGTCTCCAGCCATCACTCCAGCTCTGAAACTCGAGCTTCCAGGAGCTGCAGCTGGAGACACCTCTTGCACACATGCTGACCCAGGGGACTTGAACTGTCCCTGGCCTACCACATGGTACAAGAGGAGCAAACCAAGACTTTGAGCTCTCCTGCCATGGTTTACCTCTTTTAATTAAACCTTGGAGAGTACTTTATATTAGATTAAATCAAATCCAGTTATCTGTGGCCCTTCTTTCCTGGTCCCTGTCCAACCCCTACAGATTAGAAGCCAACAAAAGTACTTTAAATGATAGAAGTTGTAAGGACTTACCTGCCTTACCCGCTACTCACCAATCAGCTCTTTTCCGAAGGCTTAAATGACCATGTCCTACTCCTTTTTTTCATGTTAGTACATTTTGTGATGTGTGTCCAATGGACAGAGAGTATCGACCTACAAATGGACAAGGAAGAGAATGAAGGCTTATCACTTCAGCTTGGGCATAGAAAAGTTTTTATATATAATGTGAAAAAAGGATGTTTTAGATTGGCTCTGGACTACAAACTTCTAAGTGCTTTCAGTTTGAGGCTGAATTTTAATATAGTCGCCATCCTACATATCATTCAATCAGTCCAGCTAGGAAACCAGATAGCTGTGTTGTACTTCAAGGATGTATGTATCTGTGCTGGGATTAGGGAAGCCCATAAGAACCTCAGGTTCAATATTGATATTCATTACTAATACATGCAACCTCATAAGATATAGACTCTCATTTTGAAAGCCTTAAGCTACTGTTCTGAAAAACTATATTGCTCTTACCCTATTTAGATTCAGAGTCAGAGGACTATATGTCGACATAATAGATATTCTATCTTACTGTGATCTCTGTACATCCTAGATCTCTAACTAAAGTAGTATCAGAATTCTGTTTTGCTCAGTGATACCTTTTAACCCTGCTCCATACAAGTCTAACATTTCACTGATGTTAGTCAGATATACTTTGTGTCCAACTATTACTCCAGTTTGTGTCTCCTGAGCCTATAACCGAGGCAGGCATCCCAATGATCAAACCAAATCATACTACACATACAACAGATAAAGCACGCTAACTTCAGTTAGGTGGCAGTCAAAGAAAACTGCATTGTAGCTGCTTGTGTGATTATCCACATGCACACTCCAGATGAAAAATCTTCAGGTTATTTAGAATTATGCTCTCCTAATTTCACGTGTAGAAGAAATCTACTAAAAAATTCTAGTATTTTATTTAATATTGGATGCCATATGACAACATACTATAATAATTTTGTTCATGTTGGCCAGTGATGATATCTTCAGTTAATGCAGGTTTCAGACTCTCAATTGATTGGAAAGCCCGCTATTTAGCTGTATTTGGATGCAAATATCAAACTGATCTGAAGGATGATTTTTTTGCTTGATTTTCTTTACGTTCTTATTTTGGCCAATTAGATCTATGTCTGTCTTCAGCTGTCATGCCATCATGAATCAACTTTTGGCACATTTTCCTATCAGAGACATTGTGCCATAAAGCAATATGTTTTCTGACCCTGTTTTGTCACTGCTCTGTCAATGTAGCATTTATGTCTTGTGCTCAGTCATTTATGTGACAATTAAAATGCAAGTATTCCGATGCTTTAGTAAATGAGAAGTTATATGTTTGATTGTTATAAAGGTAAGGATACTGACTGAAGAAAGCTCTACCAGAAAGGCACTTACAGAGTCACTAAAGCAAAGACTTAATGTTGTGACAAAAGAAAAATCAGCCTATGAGGAAATGTACCGTAAAACCACTGGAGAATTGGATAAAAAGGTAAGGATGGTTGTCCTCCTGTCTAGTTAATCAAGATCTAGTACCAGGATGATGAATGTGAAATTTGAGAGCAATCACTATATAATATTATGACAGAAGCAGAATACCTATCATTCTTTGATGAATTTGGAGCCTAAAATAAACTTAATGCAGTGCAATCCTCTGCTGTAAAACCTTGTATGATTCGTAAATATCTAATTGAATAAGTCAGTTCTGATTATTGTGCAATTGAAAAAGCTTTGATTTTAACAGTTAAATACTCAAACAAAAATGGCTTTTGTCTTTATGCTAAGACAAAGTCCGATTGAAAGATTTTAGAATCAAAACAAACCTTGCCTTGCATTTCTTTGGGTTACTCGCCAACCTGAAACCACACAACCTCATAGCTGCTCATACATGTCTGCAGTATTGCTGGTGAAACTCACTGGGCAAATGTACCCAATGGACTGGGCCACAGCTCTCCCTAGCCCTTTCCAGACAGCTTTGTCAGGGTTTATGGACGTTGGGTCTCCTTTAAATCTTGCAGCGACTTGCCATTTCTCCCTAATCTGGGGCTCAGCATTTGACAAGAGGTTGTTAAACGGAGCACGGTAAGGAACATCTGTCTCCAGATGGGCAGAAATACACCTGCCAGAATGTGGGACTAGGAACCTCAAAGAACATGACTTGGAATAAATTAAATGAAATTAGTCTCTCTGCTTAGGCTTTAAGAGTGAATATATGGGACTTGGCTTGACCTAAATGGATCTTTCATCTGACTCCTAATCTACCATCACTATAACCTCCTTATTTATTCTCAATGTCACTTCTTTTTATTCACTTTACAAACTTCCTGTTCATAATGTGTCCATTTGTGCTGGTGACCTTTGCAAATGGGAGCAAGGAAAGTGGTGCTGTTTAGGATAAGTCTGGTACTTCATTGGGGCGCCATGATTGGTTTTGAGTATGTGACTGATTTTTCATTTGCAGACCACATTGTCACAATGTGCCAAATTGGTGTTTGTGAATATGTTGGTATAATAAAACATACCATTAATAAAGTGCTTATCATAAATTCTTCCATCTATCTCAATTTCCACAGTCCTAAAAGCAATTTAGATTTTCACTTTCTCTGAAACGAGCAACTCAAACATATGAAAGGAACTTCAAAAGAACGTACTGGAACATTTGATGGGTTATCTGGAGAGATTAGGAGAGTGCAACTAATTGGATAGTTCTTTTGAAGAGCTAACACACGCACAATAGGCCAAACGACCTTTTTTATGCAATGAGATTTGTGAGGGAGTGAGATTCCACCACATATTGCAAATGCCATCCTGTTGCCTGTAAACATTAGAACCATTAGGTTTGTTGTATAGAATGTTAATTTCCTCTGGTATAAGATGTAATAAAATCAAAACCATTTACTTAATCATGCATTTGGAAAATTCTGCCTTATTGACTTCTGACATATTGGAGTTACTTCCTACATTTGATTTTTTTCGATTATACTATAATCTTTTCAACATGCAGGATGTAATTTAAGAAATCTTACTGTTTTTCTTTTCTGACACTAATTTTCACACATTCACTAACATTTTCCTGTCAGTCCATTTCTTTTGGATATTTTTCAAACAACCTCCATGTGATGCACAGTTATGGTCGAGTGTGACTATACAGTCTTCCTTAAATGGTAAAGGCAGCATGGATCCTGAGTGTGATGCATTGTTATGTTTCCAAACTTTAAGACATTTTGGTGTCTATCGTACCCCAAACAAATTGTTCTTGAGTTGTTTTATTCCTGTGCATGTACCACTTGCATTATCACAGATTGTCAGCATCATTTCTGCTATTCAGACCTTTTTTCTTACAATTGCTCACTCCACAGCATGAGTTTCAAACTTATTGATGGTTGTAATGATTAAATAATTCAGTAACTGCTGGAGAAGCATTAAAGGATTGTTATTGCAAATGCATTGTGATTCCCTGCTATGTTTTTGATCTTTCTCTTCAAATCATACTCTTGCAAATTACACAATCAAAAGCTATATTTTCATTTAATTGAAATTTAATTAATAGGTCAGAAAAGCAAAAACAGGATCAGCTAAATTGTCTTATTAGGCTTTTACTCTTTCTACATATGATCCATCGATGTTGTTGCATGTATGTTCCTTAAATATTTATCTTATGTGCATGTCTGTTTTCTTTCCATGAATTCTAGAATCAGAAACTGCATGATCTTAAAACGAAAATGATTGAGACTGAATCAGCAATGACGGAACTAGAGACAACAGCATCACAACAGATGCATGGACTGGCAATGCAAAGTGAACAGGCTTTAGCAGGCATTCAGAAGAAACTCACTGTTGCTAATGAAAGAGTGGATAAATTTATTACATTGATAAAGGTAAAGTCCTGATGGAATATCACAGCTTCAAAATTAACTCTGTTTCTCTCTTCACAAATGCTACCAGACCAGCTGAGTATTTCCTGCATTTTTTGTTTTAATTTTAAATTTCCAACAATCCTCTGTATTTTGTTTCTGTATTAATGTAACTTGCTGCATCCTTGATTGGAGCCACAGTGCATTTTAATAGATGTAGGTGGAAAGCATATTGCAATTTCTTTGGAATTACTGTAATTAGTGTTATGTTTCTTTTTGGTAATAATATTCTTTCACCTTAATTCTCGCATCACAACAGAGTAGCTCATTTAAAATACTTAAAGTGTGAAACCAAAATTTCAGAATTTGAGTTAAAGGAAGTACTTTTATAAGAACTGTATATATTAGCAAAAAAGGCTTGTGTATGATGCTATCCTTTCACTTTGCGATAGTTTAGAGCCATCGTGTTGATGGTTTGTTGACTTGAAATAAAGTAACCATCTCTAAACACCAATCAAGTCAATTATTCCCCTGCATTCAACGAGGTATAGAAAGCTCAATAACATGCAAATTCATTACCAAAAGACTGTAACAGTTCATAGATTAATCTTCATGTTTGTTTTTGATTTGAAGGCATGCTTGAGATTATTCTAGAAGCTTGTTTTTACAAATTCAGTTGTTACTTGAAGATAAACAGAAATCTGATGCATTTGTAAAACATTGAGAGAAAACGACTGAGTTTATTTCAGATAAATGCATGCGAGTATGAATGCATTAAATCTGTGATGGATAGACTTAATACTCAGGAGTGTTTAATCTTCTCAAATATTGATCATGACTGGGATTTCTTAACAGCGCTGCAAGCTTTCAGTCCCCGTAACTTGAATACTACAGGTTCAATCTTAATGCGTTCTTTTTAACAAACAGTATTAGCAGTCATTAAAGATTTCTGAATGCAGCTGTGCCAGAGGTAGAGATGCTTGGGTTAGAGGAAATGGGAAAGAATGAATTATAAGTTTCTGTACTTTTACCTTTCTTATTACCAAAATGAGATGATAAACATCAAGAGATCAGCTCACTATGTTGCTTTTCAGGAGGAATCTGAGATAAATTCAGCTAATCTCTATCAGGATTACTTGGCACCTGGGATTTGGTCAAATTGAATCTCCGCACACACCAGGCAGAATTGTAGCAGTGAATATCTATTAAGTAGTAAACAGAATAATAGGCTTGGGTGGCTGTTAATGAACTGGATGGCTTAGATCTTGCTGTTTGGGGGCAGTCTGCTTTGTTAATAGGTAAACCTGGGACTGTTTTGCCCAGAGCTACAGTTATATCTTATTTTGTAGGTAAAGAAGCAGATTCATAAAACTGGGTCAGACTGCAAATAAACATGAAGAAAAGAATTGCTTTCTACTTGAAAATTATTGACTATTTCAATAGTATGGTCTTTTATTTAGTTGTCTTGTGAGGAATGTTCAAATGATAGTCTAATTGGGAAAAATGAGGGATTGGAGTTTAAGAGATAACAAGGTGTAAAGTTGGATGAACACAGCAGGCCAAGCAGCATCAGAGGAGCAGGAAGGCTGACGTTTCGGGCCTAGACCCTTCTTCAGAAATGTCAAAACATCGATGGATCATATGTAGAAAGAGTAAAAGCGTAATAAGACAGTTTAGTTGATCCTGTTTTTGTTTTTCTGACCTATTAATTAAATGAAAATATAGCTTTTGATTGTGTCAAAACATCACAGAACTTCTGAAGAAGGGTCTAGGCCCGAAACGTCAGCCTTCCTGCTCCTCTGATCTTGCTTGGCCTGCTGTGTTCATCCGGCTGTACACCTTCTTATCTCAGATTGTCCAGCAACTGCAGTTCCTACTATCTCTGGAATAGAGTTTAATCCATGTTTTACACAATTTGAAACCATAACTTCATAATTTGTTAGACCATTTGCATTATTGGACAGAATAATTTTGTAAGTTTTTGGACTTGTGTCATGTTTATGATCTGTCATCCTACTTCAGTTAAATAATGAACAAAGCAAATTTTGCACTCCCCGAACAATATGAATTAACCTATTACCTGTTTGTTGTTCCCTGCTGTGCATCTATGACATTTCCATTTCCACATCAGTCATCGCTGGACATTTCAGAATGATGCTAGAATAAGATTGTCCAATCTCTATCTTTTTGCATGGGGAGGAGGTATATTTCAATTTTTCATTCACTAGCAAGGCTGGTGAACAATTTTTTAAAAAAATATGATTTACCAGGGCAGTGAGCATATACCTCAGAAAAAGAATCTAAGGCAATATATTTATAATTTAGATGAGTAATGATGATCAAACCAAAAGAAAACGTGGAGATGAGAACCAACCTCTGATTGGAGGAGCAGATCTTTCAAAATATTCTCGTCTATCTTGTATAAAGGCTCATAGTTTACATGGGACCCCTCAGCAAGCCACATTGTGGTTCCAGCCTGCCTGCTGGATGTGCCTGGCTGAGGATATAGGAGCAGTAGGAGGCAATTCAGCACCTCAAGCTGTTTTGCCTTTTCATTGAAACATAGCCGATGTGTATCAGAACTCCATTTAACAGCCTTGGTTGAAAATCCCTTTGTGCATTTACCTAAGACCAATCCAGTAATCCCAATTTTGGGATTTTTAACTCACCCCCACTCTCTATGTTTAGGCTTTTTGGGAGCTTAAATTACAGATATCACTACGCTTTTAAATCCTTAATTCAAGAGAATATAAGACTAACCTATTCAAAATGTGACACTGTTAGCTGCAGGAAGACCGAATAGAAATAGGCTATTTAGTCCTGGAGCCAGTCCTGCTGGTCAATGAGATCATGACTAAAAAGCAGCCTTATGTTAGAAAGTGAAAGGTGGATAAATGTACTCTGACTAACCTTGACCAGTTTGCAGGAACACTTTTTAAGTCAGGCACAATACACAGTGAGATAGACAAAGGGGACAAGAGTCAGGAAAGGTCCAACACACCTTTATTGAATAATTTATCAAAGAAAAACGATATTGTTCAGACTCTACTATTGTACTTTAATTAAACTTTGTCAAAGTCTATGAATCGCTTCACAGGACTCTTCAGTAAGCAGTCTTAAATCTCAAACTAAACATTTTCAAATCTATACATGCTATCTAGTTTTGACATATGCTTCTGAAGATTCAGTACACCCGACCACAGGTCCCTACCATTGTATTTGAACTGTTGGCTGAAAGAACCAGTGATACAGTTCAATAAGGCTGGGACAGGCTGTTCTTAGGGGTAGGCTGATGTTTCAGGATCTGCAGTCATGGATTTGAACTTCCTCTGTCATACAGGGCTGGTTCTAGTCTTTGGGTCATTTCACCGAAGTGGTCTCTTTGGAATTGCCGTTGAAGAAGATGCAAAAGCAAAGTGAGCTGGGGCTCCAGATGGCTCCTTTTATCCCCCTCTTTGTCTCCTTCTTGAAGAATCTGTGGCCTGTGTCCAATATTAGCATCAGGCAGGGGCAGGAAGATCCAATGCAGTGACTACTTTCCATATTTGGAGGTCGCAGAACATGGTTTTGAACTTTTAGCTGCCAAGTGCTGTCCTTGTACGCTGAGCCCATGGCCTCCTACTGAGCTGGGTGCCACCGAGTCTGTGTAGTATTCTTCTAACAAAGCAGATTCACTGGAGGTGTCAACAGTGGTTCGTTCTGAAGCATGTGCCTATTAATACCTAGCCAGGCAGTTCCAGGCCTGTCTGGTTTTGATGGGAATTAATTAGCTGCATGAATATTGTCTGTTTCAGCTCTGCAGTTTGCAAATTGCAGAATCCGGGTATGTTTTAACTTGGCTTCCACTTTGCACGTTTTTATCCATGCCTGTATAAAAATGTAAATATTTCTATAACAATCCTGAAGGTCATGGGTCACCTGACCACACTAAAACCTATCTTTCTCTCATTAACTCAATAATATTCAATTACTGGTGGGATCTTAACAATTGGGGTATGACTTTTGAAGATTTTGGACAAAGTTCGGTAGATTTTAAAGAGCCATCTGTGCCTCAAGTTGAAACCAGTGACCAGTGACAGTGGAAGAAATAGAATGTGTTTCTGAAAATTATGTGTTGATGATAAGGAGATAAATTGAAGAACTGAGGCATTTTCAAACTTAGGCTGATGAGTGACAAGTTCATGCACCGCAAACCAATGCCAGCCAATGACCATCTTCAACAATCTAACCATTTACCCTTGACATTAAATGACAATGCCATCGCTGAATCTACATTACCAGCATCCTAGGGGTTACCTCAACTGGAGACTGAACTGGACCACCATATAAATACCATGGATTCAAGAGTGGATTAGAGACTGGGAATTCTGAGGTGAACAACTCACTTACTAATTCTCCAAAACCTATCCACGATCTGCAAGGTACAAGTCAGGACCAAGCAGTCTGCTTGAGCCGTAACCCATCAACCATATTCTCCTCCATGTCAGCATTCCGTTTTCCAAATTGCTCAGGCTACGTTGCCCAGGCTGAGCAAATTACTCACCATCGCATAAATGGCTGGATGGGTATTTGGTGTGGAAAGCACTTGAGATAGTCGGCTGAGCACATGGACCACAAAGTTCATAGAACAGGAATATTCACCAGTAGGCTAGAAAGCACTTTGGGTGCTTGGACAAATGAAATATTTGAGGAAATATAGCTGTCAGATGGAACAGGTAGGCTGCAAACCTCTGTCCCAAAATACTTTAACCCAGTCTACGCTCAAAACCAATTTTCTTTAGCACACTGGACTCTTCTGCCTTAATTGCTAAATGCAGCAAGTAAACATAAAGCAGGAATCATGTATCTGCTGCCCTTATCCTTCCAAATGGTAATGGTCATGGGTTTAGAAGGTATTCTTTTAGGAGCCTTGGTGGATTTCTATCATGTATTAATTTTGTTCCTTCATAATTCTTTTCAGATCTAAATCTAGTATATTCAACTTCCATAATTAGTAAAATTGATTACAGATTATGAATTCTAAT